GCTTTTACATTAAATTACATATTTTTTTAGTTGTATTGATTCTGCTTACTCAGAAGTAATTGTATTGCAACGCTCTTTCATCAGTAATTTGCAGCAGTAAATTTGCTAGCAAGTTTTCTGTATATGATCTGCAGGTTACCTGCTTATTATGTATGTATGAATACTGATAAAGCTATTTATTAGGTGCGGAAGATGACACAATGCAAAGAACTTTATTCTCGAAAATAAAAAGAAAAACGATACTAATATCCATATGAAGCAAAAAATGAATAACTTATAAGCAAACGATAACAATGATAATAACAGGAAACTATTAGCAATAAAATAATGAGCAAGTGACAAGAATTTATCTAACAGAAAATACAAATAATCAACCATATCAGAAATAACAGCGCCTTTTCCAACTTAAAATGCACCCTTCAGCTTCTTTTATGTTTCTTCTTGTATACTTTTAACGAGTCACAAATCATGTAACTTTTATTGTATACAGTACAAGTGAAGGTTGGCCTATTTCTGTCATGTGCTGCTATGTTTCTTTCAAATGTTTCTGTTTGTGTGTTTGCAAACTAATTTTGCGTGTGAAACTTCTCTTGCATATTTTACAAATGTATGGCCTTTCGCCAGTATGAGTCCTCATATGCCTTTTCAGTGGGGATGATTGAATGAAACTTTTGCCGCATATTTCACAAATATATGTTTTGTCGCCAGTATGAGTCCTCATGTGGATTTTCATACTGTCTAATCGAGGAAAACTATTGCCGCATATTTCACAAATGTATGGTTTTTCACCAGTGTGAGTCCTCCTATGCTTTCCCAAATCGGATGATTGAATGAAACTTTTGCCGCATATTTCACAAATGTACGATCTTTCGCCGGTATGAGTCATCCTATGCCTTTTCAATGCGAATGAGTGAATGAAACTTTTGCCGCATATTTCACAAATGTGTGGTCTTTCGCCAGTATGAGTCCTCATATGGGTTTTCATAGTGTCTGATCGAGGAAAAATTTCGCCGCATATTTCACAAAGGTGCTGTGATTTCTTTCTTTTTGAATTCGTTAATTCTACATGTCTTTTAGACACTTCCTTGACCAATACTTCTTCCTTTATTCCTACTTCTCCATTTACTACTCCTTGTATTGGCAAACTTATTGATACATTCCCTTCCTCATTCACTTTTTGCACTGGTAAATCCAACAGGTCTGTTTGCTCCGTTTGCGCTTCCTCAAATTGCACGAAATTATCTACCTCATATTTTATTTAAATGTTGAGATTTTCGGAATATTGTAGTGCTATGTTGCATTTTTTAACTTTAAATGAACTTACAATTGTTTGAATGTTGCCCAGTTGGAAGACGACGAAAGCGAAATAAATAAAATGCATGTTGAAGTGAACAATACTTTGCCAATTCTGAAAAACATTCAAATTTACCAATGCACTGGATAACAACGCCTGCTGTTTGACAATTGCATAAAGATTCAATAAATGCTTTTCTAAATGTATTAGCGTTGAAAAAAAAAAGAATATGGTGGGACATCTCTCAATCAGACGACTAACATAACATGTTGGAAATGGATTGTAAACGTTCCAAAGTAGTATTTGCGAAAACTTTATCCATACAAATTTGATTGGAAGGTAATTTTGTTCTTAAAAAAGTACTCATTTCACGCTTACTGGAAATTCCAAAATTCCGTGACGCGGAAGTTTGGATAGCAGCTGGCATTTTCTGTCGGAATAAATGAAATAGAACTTACCGGATGAAATTCGTGGAAGAGTCTTTAATATAGACGACTCAGTCACTTCTTTTGCTTAGTACTGTCCAAATATCGTCTGTGTAAATGCTCATTCAAATGAGAGTGGCAAACTATCTGTACAAATAATCTATCGCCACGTGTAATAATGCAATGATAACAATCACAGTTTAATCCTTTATACTGAATAACTGTGTTGTTAAAATATATTGTTAAAATATATTATATTGCATTGTTAAAATTAATCAAAATCAACATAAATAATCATAACAGTGATTTTGATCGCCTTTAAACTGAGAATTAATAAAAAAAATAAATTTGTTTTATTCTTTTTTTTTTAAAAAAGAAATTACTTTGAAAGAAAATTGGAGAAATTTATAAGATAAAGATCATTTCAGGAAAAGGCAAAAAATAATTGGGAAATTAAGAAGCAATGTATAATGATGATGTGCTTGTTGTCTTGAAGGTCATCCAGTAAAATGATAGTATCATTATAATGGAATAACGAAAAGACTTATAACTGTTAAACTTAGCAAAAACGATAATGATATACGGGGTCACTATAGTTATTGAACAAGGGAAAACT